GCCCCCGCGCGGCAGCTCCGGCTCCCGCCGCTTCCCTCACCCGCATTCTCCGAACTCCAAACCCAACTGCTCGTGGCGCTGCGCCCCACGGCTGGCGGGAGGCGAGGCGTTCATCAGCAGGAGCGGGGCAAGCTCCGCTATTTAAAGGACAAAACATGAAAAAAACGGTATAAACTTGCTATACATTAGTATCACTTGGAAACAAGGGGCTTCTAACTAACAGGGTCACACCTCCCCTGGGGCTTTGCCTTTCTGGCTAGTCTGCACAAGGCGAACTTCAGCTTAAGATTCCTCCTGAGCGCAGTTTTTTTTTTTTTTTTCCCAATCCAGTTCCCCTTTCCACCACTCAGCTTTGGTTGAGCTTTGACATAATTGTGGCTGATAAGGATGAATCAGCAGATCAGCTCAGCCTCTCCCAGCACAACGTGATCTGTGGACAGGATGGCGGTTGCTGGGAGATTGTCTCTTCCATTTTTTTTCCTCCCATGTGAAATAAAACCTGTCATTTAAAAAAGCATTTAAGGGATGTCACCAGCAAGATCTGAGATTGCTAAAAATTGATACTTTGAATTGAGCCTTCTTTTTGCCATTTCTGCCAGCCAAATCAAATTCATACTGTTTATTTACTATTTAGTACCTAACAAGTGCAATGCTGCTATCAGTGCAAAACATTGGGAAAACAGTGCGAAAAAACACTGAATCCTCAAAGGGAACTGACTTTTTTTTTTCTCTTTCATTATTCAAATAAAAGTTCTTGCTATAATTGGAGGCAGATTTCCAATTAACAGTAGTTGAATCCCTTATAAGAACTATCCTGAAAATAGTTTTTCTGTACTAGAAGATTCTTTAAACTTTACCTTGCATATTCATAAAGGACAATGTACATCAGTTATCTTAAAAGTAGCTACTAATTAACTTTTATCATTCCTAGTTGATATAATTGTGAATTACTATATAAGCATAGTTTAATTATTCATCAACATACAGCTTTGCAGGGCAAGGTTTTTTTAGTTTATTTTTTTAACTCTATGAATAGTTTGGCCATTATCAGCGTGTTGTTTCAGGATAATGTAGGTGTGGCTAAAATCAGGATCAAGTCTGACACTGAAATTTGGCAAGACTAATAACTAATGTTATTAGTCACGGTGGTGTTGGAATTTCTCACTGTCCTCTAAGTTAAATTGCCTTCTGTTTTGCATTGTTTTCTTGGGCACTTCATTACCTAGCAAAAGTATGTCCAAAATCTCCCAGGAAACTCCTCAGATCAGGGAGGATGAACCATGAGCAATGGAGCCTTGTGCTCGCTCCCACTCCCATGACTTAGTTACCAGCCTGTTTTTCCACACTAACAGTGACTTGCAGCTGCATCTGGCTTTGCTACTTGTAAGGCAGACTTGCAAAAAAGGAAGTAATCAAGAATCTTCTACAATCTATGTCTACAAAAAACAAACAACAACAACAAAAAACTCCACTTATGTCAGAATTAAGAGCACTGCTACATATTCTATGTACAGCTCAGAAATGACACTGTTACAGAACAGAATCCTACCAAGTTGGATGGTGCATTATGGACTTTCTGTACAATTATTACATTTTCTTTAGTTGATAAATTATGGTCTGGCAAACTAACCCTCCTTACAACCATAGCTTTTTAAACATAGCTTCTAAGCAAACTCACCTATATACAAAGCAAACTCACTCATATATGTGTAAACATGTAAAAACACATCCTCCCCTCCCTTTTATGTATTCCCTTAAACAAAGTTCAACAAGTTTTCGGTGCAGCCAAACGGTGGGTGGCAGTATTCAACACACCCTTGATTCTGGCTAAACAGCACTTAAGCAGGTAAGTGCTTCTCAATGGTAACTGATACAGTCAGTATCTGCGGAGAAAAGTTTGAACAGTTCACAAATTAGCGTAATGAGTCAACTTGTAATGACAGCCATCTGCAAGAAACAGAGTTTCATCTTGCATATTTATGAACCAAAACTGTACAAGTAGGTTTTACTATCACTGGGAACAGGTCTCAAAATCAAATATATTTTTCCTACAGACTGTACAATTTTAAAGGAGAGAGATATATTGTCCCATGATGGAAAATTATTAATTCTTTATTTACCTGAGCAACGCTTCAACCATAACTCTTGGAAAGTCATTACCAAAACACAAGCAGAACCTCAACCAACATCTCATCTTCATGTGATATACTTCCATGGCCAAAGTTTTCCCCAATCATTACTTTCCTCAGCCCATCCCTGAAGCTCCCACAGAAAGCATGCCTACATGCATGGGTTGCCAGGTTTTAAATTAAATGTTTGACACCTAGTAGGTTATGTTGCAATCGCTTTATGAACATGCTTGTGGATTAAAGATGATTCACATGTTGCTTCAGATCTACCTCAGCTAAATAAGAATAAACAGAATAAATCAAAGAGCAGTCTCTACACAGTCCTTTGCACTAGCTTACCTAAACTGATCAAAAAAGACACTGAAATGAACTGCATGACTTCTGCAGACAGGATTCCACCATTCCTAAGTTTCCAGTTTTAATGATTTTTTGTAGAAAAGATCCAGGGTCCATACAATCTAGGCAGGTAACAGGCAGCTGGAATAGAGCCTGAAATAGCAGGTTGCAGAGAAAAGGACAAGAGGGAGATGGGTGATAATTATTGCCACTCAAGATCTCTTTATATCTTCTAAGTCATTGTGTTTTGAAAATAAAACATGACAGTATTGGCTCAAAATGGTATTTGCAGAACAACCCCTCTGTAAACATCCAATCTCCTTCTGAAAGAAAGGTGCTCAGTCTCCCACATTTTCTGTGGCAATGACTTCCCTCGTCTTATTATTCACTGTACAGAAGTATTTCCTTATATCAGTTTTGGATGTGGGGCATTTAGGTAATATCACATGGCCTTGTTCTCAACGTACAGAATGCTGCCAGGGCAGCTTCCTTAACACCAGTTTTCAGGATCTTTGCCAGAGGGGATAGGCACCTTTGGTACTGTTCACTCACAGCAACTCACCATACTGCCCTGGCAACATGCTCTGTTCTAGCAGGCAGGACGTTTCTGCACTCGCAAAAGATCCGTTTCCAGTAGTGTGCCCCCTGCAATATGGAATACAAAATACATTTACATACAATTTGCATAAATGCAGGAAAGCTATTTTATTTTCATGAAACCAGGAGGCATTTGAGCACGTCTGGTAGCAGATACACCAAGATATGACAATCTGGGGTTGAACATATTGTGCTTAAGAGAAAAGACAGTATTCTGTCACAAGCCTAGGAAAAATCACACTGAAAGGTTCAAAACCATGGGGATGACAACACGAAAATTGCAGATATCTGTGGCAAAGAGTTCAAGAATGCTAAATACAAAAGATAAAAAAAAAAACCTACCTGTGTATTTAGTATTTCATTATTACAAAATAATTGTCAAATAAACTAGAAAACCCCTTTACACTAGGAAAAAACAATTAACAGCACTTTATACTACACTAGTGTGTACCTTCTTATCTCTTATTTCTGAGCCCCACATTCAGGTCTTGTAAGAAATATCCTTGCTGGGCTACATTAAGCATTTCTTCATGTGCTGAAACATAAAAGCTCCTCAAGTTATCATATCTTTGCAAAAGCAGCAGGTACTCAATAAGTGAATAGAATCCTGCTGCTGCCAATTATTATCAAATTCCAATTTGTTTAGTTTCGGAGGGGCATACCTATAAAGGAAAAAACAAATGCATATCTTTGCAATTTAACCTTTTGTACTATCAAAACACAGCTTTATCTTTAAAGGAGCAAGTAAAATGCAAGCAAACATCAGTGTATAAAACAGACTCACAGAAAATCTCCCAAATGCAAGGAGAACCAGAAAGAGTGAGACCAAACGAAGGTCTGCAGGTAATGTTCTTTATTACACAAACTTGTGTAGCGAGATTACGCAGACATGCTTCTGGGCAAACAGTTTTAAGAAACAGGCTCCCACGCTAAATACACCCTTAACGAGTGTCCTCAGGTTGTAATTTGATACACAGCAACTAGACCTCTGAGAAATGAGTGCTCAGTGCACACCTCTGCCTGCACCCTAGTCTTGTGTGTGTCTTAAGGCAATCACAGCCACAGTTGTGCTATCAAATTAGAACAAATCCTGTATATATATATATATATATATAAAATAACAAATAAAAGACATTTTAGAGTTGTGTTTGGAAAAATTGCAGAGTCAAAAAGAAAAATTCAAAACTGAGCATGTATTTAACAGCTGCACAAAACTGCATTTCCCTGGGGGCATTAAAGGGAGCACAGAAAGCGCCAGAAAGGGAGACAACACCTGGAACTTTTACCTGGAGGATGCCATGCCCTGGCGCACGGGCAGCTGCTGCACAGTGGGAATCATGCTTCTGCTCAAGTAATGCACGCGGACTAGAGCTAAACTAAATAGAGAAAAAAGGAGATATTAATTTCAACATGCACCACGCACACTGCTCACACCAGAGGCTTTTGGGGATGGGGACAGGCACCCTTTGTTGCAGGAGCCTCCTGCAGCTGGGCCCACGCAGCACCTCGGCGCGCGGCACTGCCGACTACCACGGGAACGACGCTTTGGGCTCCTTGTCTTTTTTACAGCTATAATAAACGTGCACCAGCAGCAGAGGCCCAGGTAGGGGCCCGGGCCCCGCTTCCTTCGCCTCCCTCTCCACGCAGGAGGCGCCTCCAGCTCGGGCCGGGCACAAGATGGCCCCCGCGGGCCGGGGCGGCGGGCGCGCGCGGG